CCAACTTTGAATTTGTTTTGAAAATTTATTACACAATTTGATTTTTGAAAACCTTGATGAGTTTTAATCCAGGTAATTCGTTTTATTTGCGCATATATTTCTGGCTCGACTCCTTAACCTTTTGTACTTTTTTGCGAATTCCATATTTAGCTCATCGGCTCTAAAATTTGTCTAAGCGTAAGCTTTCGAAGCCAATATTATACAATTTTGGGGACGCGCGTTGTAGTTATACCTTTCAAAAGGGCCAAAAATTGCAATTCGACCTGTTTTTATTCCAAAAAATTGGCTTTGGTGCAGTATTTTTGGCCTAACAGGGACTTTAAAGTGATTTAAGAGATCTCTGAAATTCAATTTTGTCGACTAAAAAAGGGGACGAAATACACAAAAGCTGCTCAGATGTGGATCTCTGAAAAAGACTAGACGGCATGTATTCGGTTGAGTACATAATTGAGGGTTACATAGCAATATTTAGACATGTGCATATTCTTACTTGTCAAGAATAAGCAAAAAAACACTGTATTAACCAATCAGAATCGATATAAGGAAGAAATTCAGAATATATAGTTATTTATTTGGTAAGCTTGATTTCTCATCTCATTTGTTATTGGTTCAAAGACAACCTCTGCCATTCCGCAAACCGTAGGACCGTGTCCGGAAACTACACCGGGCCACTCGTTAAGCTCTTGCCCGTTCTCGCTCCTTCGGGGGTGGTGGATGTTATTCCTTCTTAGCATTGAGTTGAAAGTATATGAAAGCTAGTATAAAGACAATATAATGGTTTGTCAATGCACTCTAGATAGCCTATCGTGGACATAGAGCGTTCCGGAGAGTTTGGCGTGAATTCGAACGTCACCTATTTTCCTTTAGAATCACATTCGAGCCGAACTTGATAGAAATTATAATGCTAATATTTTAATTGGATGCAAATTGGTTTGCAAATAGGTTTAGATGATATATATATTTGAGCTGATTCTGATCTTATGTGAAAATCATGAATCAACACATGATCAACCCCATTTTTGTCACAATCTACATGAGAAAGTTTTTTGATGCTGAAACTTTGGAAACCGTTGAACCAATTTCTTTTATAGAGAAAGAAAAATAAAACCGATTCTGTTTATGTTTTTAAATATTTTGAAAAGAACATTTCTAGTCAGTCTGTTTTTGAGCTATTTCAATGCATAAACATAAATTTTTGTTGAGTGTTTTCAAATTCTTTAATTTCCAAGCTAGTATATGAAGTCAAATTTCAGTTGTAAAGAAAAGGTCGATCGTTTCCAAAGTACTGAACAACGCGGAAAGTTAGTTAATTTGTTTTGTCTCTAACTAATCTAGGAGGTGATTCAAATAACCGGTTGCCGGATATCAGGTCAACAATATATTGAACAGCAACATTTAATTTTTACCAGAACTTTTTCAAGGATTAAAGCACTGCGGGCTGATTTAGGGGGAGGGAACCTCCCCCCTTTCTTAGGGATTCGACCTCCTGCCGACCACAAGGGTCTTTACTTTGGTACTTTTCAAAACATCCGTTTTTGGCCGACCGACCCTGAAGTTTTTCAAAAGACGTCTTTGGCGTCAATATATACAAATGTTGAGAGAGAACGAGCGCCAAAAAACGTGGTGTTTTTCAAAATTTGCATTCTTAATAGTGTTCTGGGAGCGCTCGGAAACCCATTTTGGTCGACCTAGAAAACTGGTTGATGAAATGTTCATAAAATTTTAAAAAATCGACCCCCCTCCCCCTCGATAAAACTCTAGATCCGTTCATGATGTTGTTCCCACTAACATGTGTCAACTTTTTAAATTTTAACCTACATTTCAGTCGAGCTGGGAGACACAACGGGTGTTGAGAAATTGAGCCTAAGTTATTTTCCGCTCTTATGAACTAAGACAGAATAGTTGCTCGCGATAACTCATAACTGACACTTAACTAACCAGCAAAGTTGGTTTTATTTCAAGTTTCAGTTTTCTCTCGTGAAACGGGATTTGTGCTTTTGACCCTGAAAAAAAGAGGTAAAAAATTGGAGGAAACATTTTGAAAACACCGTCTTTCTCTCCCTAAACTCTCAAATGTTTCCAAAGGGTCCTCCCTCTGCTATAATTTTACGAGATCCATTTTTGGCCGACCAACATAAAAATTTTTCAAAGGCGCCTTTGGCGTCAATATAAGCAAATTTGAAGGGGCGCGCGCGCCATAAAAAACGCATTTCTTCAGTCAAATATTTCTAAAAAAAGCTCAAAACATAATTTTTAGCCTTTTCTCAAAAAACAAAACAGGGTCCTTATTTTAGTTTTGGATAGCTTCGAAAATCAAATTGGTCCACCAAAAAAGAACTGTCCACAAAATTTTCGAATATTGAAAAATTGGTTTGATAAAATGCTAGTTCTACAATTCCAATACAGTAGCCCACACGCGTTTCATATACTCAAAAAACTGTGTTAAGGGCTTGGGTCAATAATTTAAGACAAAGTGAAATAGTATAACAGCTTTTTTGTGTGCATTTATATGAATACCGTTTTTATATATACTATCGAAACTTAAATAAAAAAGTTGTGCTCGAACTATTTTCTTTTGTTCATTTTAAAAATAAAATCGAACCTTGAAAATAACCGCTGATTAGTCAAAACGGATTTTTTTCATATCAAATGACAGCTGGCTAGAAGCAGAGTTTTAGACTTGGCTAATGCAAAGGGTCTTTACTTTGATCGCAAATATGCTGAATAAGAGCCCCTAGACAATAGACAAGACTGCTTGTTCGAACTCTCCATATTTTGTCTCAAATGATTTTTGGTTAATGAAAAATTGACAAACTTTCAATTTTATGCTGAAAATTAACAATCGTTAATGGAATTATTAAGACCATGGAAATTATCACATGGAGTTTTTGAATCTTATTCACCAATTAGCCTGTCTCAATTGAGTGTGGAAGAGTTTTGTGGTGCGGGATAATTTTATCACGCGTGAACAATGTGCGGTTGACTTTCAAAGTGGCAGGGGCCGATCTAGGATTTTCTCGAGGAGGGGGCGAATTTTCAAAAACTTTTCCAAATTTTGGAAAACTTTGTTGACTTTTGTTTTTAACTGGATCAAAGTAAATTCACAACTTCGCTCAAAACATTAGAAAGACCCTGCGTTTTTTTGGCGCGCGCTCCTCCCTCAGAAGTAGTACATGTTGGCGCCAAAGGCGTCTTCAGAAACTTTTAGGGTTCTTTAGCAAAATCTGGAATACTCAACTGTTTTCCACTTTTACCTCTTTTTCCAACTTTCTTTTTACATAATTTTTTCACGTACAAGTGTGACTAAATGTGTGATTTTATGAAGTGCGTATTAATAACAAACTTCTTCAAAATAGTCAGTATGTTCAGTATGCCGAATTTCATTGCATTATGACAGCGTTAAAATGAAACCTCAAAATTGATTTTCAAATGTGAGGGGAAAATTGAAAACTTGAAAGGAGCCGATTGTTCTAGGTTCGATCACAATAGCACAATTAAAGAGAAAAAACGTTACACCAATATTTTTTTATAGAAAAATTCAATTAGAAAAAAGAAAACCGAATAGCCAAAATTTTCATTGGAAAAGAGCAAATTCTCACTCAGTTTAAATCTTGACAGTTTAAATGACGGTTTAATGTGAATCGGCTAGTTTCTGGGGAGAGCAAATTGGGCAGTTAATTTTTATATTCCAGCTTTCTTAGTGTTTCAGAAAGAAATGCGTATTTTTTGAGAAAATTTGATCTGGTTTATGGTTCTGGTAAAATTTTTTATCGTAGTAATTTCGATCAAGTTATCATCCCCCCATTCTTTCAGAATTCAGAATCTAATTCAAATTAAAATGCTAGCTCTTTTTTCCAACATCTCCCCTCTCACATAAGTATCAATGATAGGGTACAAAAAGGGGTTCAATGAGATGTTAAATATGAACAAATATGCTTGCCATAGCTTACTTAGTCTATGCCATTTTTTTAAGCAATCGAACAAGTTGAAGTTGAGCAAAACTTTGATTGTAAGAATTCGAAATCAGAGGTAACGAAAAAGCCAAATTGCTCAGCGTTTCATGTAAACTTCTCGATATTAAAACTTTAATCGATTTTGGCTGTTTTCCAGTTTCCCACCCCCTCAAAAAGTTGCTGGGAACTGAAAACGAGCCACGAATTTGTTAAAACTTGCTTGGGAGGGGGGCGGGGTGTTCATTTGATTCACTAATTAGTTTATGATGTTTTTCAGAGTCTTGTCTTTGCCTGTGAGCTTAGCTCCTTGTAAAAATGAAAAGCTGAATTTTTTCAAACTTCCTCCCCACATTTTAATTTTTCCATTTTCTACTTGTATTACGTGTGGTTATGGCTGAATGCGTGATGTTACGGTGCGATGTTTGTAGAACAAATGTTTTCACAGTAGTTAAGTTGTACACCATGCAAAAATTCCATACATCATGACAACGTAAAAAAAGTTTTTCAAAACTCAACTTCAAATGTTGGGAAAGTGGAAACCAGCCGCAAAATCTACTTTGTAAAGGGTATCACTAAATAAATTGTAAATTGAAAGCATAGTTTTGTAAAAAAATTTGTTTTTGAGTTTCTTGAGCATGATTAATATAAAATTCAAAGAGGCGTGTCTTTTTCATTTAGAAAATTATCCTGCCCTTAAAAATAGTATCATGGTTACTTTTATCCGTGCCCTTTTCTGAGAGAGACAAGACATTACTTTATTTGAAGCCACGTGACTGACTTTGGGGGGATTTTTAAACGAAAATTTCAAAGGATTTTCAAAAGGATAAGGGACGCATTTTTTCACTTGATCACTTATAGATGGTCTGAATGAATTCTTTGTAATGAGACTAATCTTAACTCAAATGGAATTGTAAGGTTCCCTGATTGAACCTTTTCCTGATTATCAATCTAGAAACTAGGAACACATTTTCCACAGCTCATTTGGCACGTGCAGATAAAAAACAAGGTGTTCGCTCAACTCGAAGTTATTTCATTTCGCCATTTCAGAGCGAGAGATTCATCAGCCGCAGAGCAGAACAGATACCAAAGTTCCCAACAATCATCTAGACGAACACCGCCGCAAACATGGACTCCAGATCGATTTTTTCCTTTCTAGGAAGTTTGGCGCTCGTTTTGCAGTTTGTTTTCGTGACGTCAGAAGCCAACTTTTTACCCGCGACAGCCGGCATGGTCAACGATATCACGAATAAACGAAGCTACCAGTTCCTCATTCCGGAAAAAAGGAGCTACCAGTTCCTCATTCCAGAGAAGAGAAGTTATCAATTTCTCATCCCAGAGAAACGGAGCTACCAATTCCTGATTCCGGAAAAACGAGCAGTTTAGTTCATCATCAAAACCTAATCTTTGGCTTAATATCACAACCATACGGTTTTTCATGGTGTTTGAGTGGTCCTTAATGAAAGCTTAACTAGAAAATGTAAAAAACAAAATTGATAAACCGAAAATTTTTTGAAACAAAGCCTTTAACATAATGAGAATGAAAAACTATATTCCAGAATTCTTTCTGCTTCTGTTAACTTATATTTTGGACCACTTCAATTTTGCTGCTCTACATTGTCATATGAAGTGTTGTAAAAATTTTGCCAAAATTAAATTGACTTATCAGCCGGTGTGTCATCTTTTATCGATCTTTTAATTGAATCTCGAAACTACTTTTGTTCGTTTGACACAAACTTCAAATAACAAGCCAGACCAGAAGCAGGACTGCGAAGTGTGTGCTTATGATTTTCTTTTAAAAGAAAAACTGGAGCTTCATCAATTTTTTGCTGATAAACTGAAAAAAACTCTCCCACTTATGCTCTTGTTTGAAAACATTTATCAAAAATATATTTATGTTTTTGGCGATTGTCCAACATTAGAGCAACACGATCGAAAATGACTGACTTGCAATAATTTTTAAAAATCATTAAATACTGTCAAATTGAACGACTTGATTAGATTCAAATCGGAAGCTTCATTTTTATCGTTACCAATTATTTGAAGTCAAGCAGAATAAAGTACTTGTAAAACAACGCATGCAATTTTCTTATCACTAAAAGCCTTTATATACAAGAAAGTTTACAGACAACTCATTTCTGCCTCGTCTCGATTCTGAGGTAGATCAGTGTCGGGTAGCTGACTGATTGACAATATATCGTTTCATTCATAATTTAACCCTAAATATCGGAAACTGCAAGTCAAGAAATAATAACACAGTGCCATACGGCTCCATTTCATTCCCCCCCCCCCCCCCCCACCTTAGAAAAGCATCAGTTTTATGATGCAAGGAGAGGTTTTACAAGGTTATTCTTGACCACCAAAAACGTTTGTCATGGCGAAAACGGCCTTGAGTCGCAAAAGAAAAAGAGCTTCGCTCAACAAAAATAACTGAGTCTTGAGTGTGAGGAAATAAGATAAACAGACTATGCTTAGACAGGCTAGAAAAAGAGGCTTTCAAAATCCCCTGCGAAACGCAGAAACCACTCATCATCATCAAGGCCTAATTACATCGCATGCCGATTTTCGTCACATTCGGAAACAAAATGTTCAGGTGGGGGGAGGGGGGAGGAAAAAGGCTGGCTTACATTTTGGCTTTTAAAAGCAGAAATCAAAGTAAAAATTACGCTAACTGAAGAATACACTAGTGCTGGACTAAAGTAAACGCAAATTAAAACGCAAATTATGTTTTTTTTTCTTCTAAAATGTCTCTTTTCAAATTCCATTTTGGAAAAAAGTTTTATTGAATTTCATTTAAATTTTTATATAGACCAAGACAAAACCATCTTATGTACCCGTTACAAAACTATCAAGGTTTTGGCTCAATGAGTTACCAATATAATGAGGGTCTGCAAATTCCACATTTTTTCATCTGCACTAAGTTTTTCAATCCGCGTGAAAAACTAAGAAACTGCCCAGTTCAATAAAAGGTATACACAAATTATTTCAATTCAAGAAATGGTTCACTGCTCACTATGATGCAAAACTTAGTGCAGATGAAAAAATCTGGCATTTTCAAACCCGGATTACAATGGTAAATCATTAAACTAAACATTGATAGTTTCATAGAGGGTAGCTCTGATAATTGTCCAAATCTGGCGATGCAAACAGGCTTTTTAGAGAAAAAAATCCTAAAATTGCGCTTAATTTTTTTCCACTAGTGTAAAACAGTAGATCAATTTTAAAACAGCTCTTGAAAAAATTGTGAAATTTTTTTGATCAGCCATTTTGTTTTTCCAGACATTTATCTTTGCTCAACAGAAAAAGCAAAACTCACGACCTTGATTTTGCTCGCTTTTTTTAGCGAGAACATTAACATCATTGCGCTTCACCAGATGAAAAAATCGATGTAAGTATCAATGAATTTAGGAGGTTGTGTTTGTATTTGAAAATAAATAGTGGTTTCTAATTACTCGGTTAACTCACATGACAGTTTTCACGACCTTTGCCCTTGAGAACAGAATTATTTTAAAAAAAGCAATGCAGGCCAGAAATCAAAGAAAAGTATAGAAACAGCCATAATAGAAATAATAGAAACAGCCAAAAAACTCTGATTTTCAAACTTCTTGGTAGTTTTTGTAACATTTCACCACTCCAAAAATTTGTGACTTTTATAATTTATATGCATGCTATAAGCGCTAAAGGCACACTTTTTTGTTAAGCGAAGAACAATTATCTTTGTCATTGCGTAATTAATCATCATGTAAATTTTTGTAACCATCGGAAAAGGTGAACAGAAAATCAATGCAAAACTTCAAGAAAATGAGTCTCAATTTGGTGTTTTTTGGCGCGCGCGCCCCCTCAAAATTAGTTTGTTTTGGCGCCAAAAGCGTCTTTTGAAAAATCTTAGTGTCGGTCAGCCAAAAATAGTTTTTTTAAAGTACCAAAGCGGGACCCTTTGGGTCGGCATGGGGTCGAATCCCTAAGGGGGAGGAGTCCGCCTAAATCCACCCTTGCTGCTGAAAAACCCAAAGTTTCAATGATTTAAAACTGCCAATGAAACATGGCGAGGAAATTTATAAGAGAGAAGGCGACGATGTTCTGAAGACAAAAAAAAGATTAACTAGCTTTAAAGTTTTCCATTTTAGCGTAAATAGCGAGGCTTTTGTTCAAGAAGTTCTTACGCTTGATTATGTTGAGCTCTAAAATCCAAACGGAGTTTATAACTGTAATTACTTAAGCGAAGCGTTGTGCACTACTACGGAGAATTTTTACTAACCTAAGTCGCAAATAAAATGCTTAGTTGGTGGCACTGTTGGTGAATTTCGTTTTGATCAAATTTTCGGGAAAATGGGGGAGAAAAAGAGGCCCAGCTCGGCCCTTTTTCCTTTTCCCCTCCACCTCACTCAAACATGATTTTTATGGTCTAACGAGTTGTTTTACAAGGTTAAATATGAAGACCAAATATGTTTGTCATGGCCTAATTAGTCTGCATGGCAATTTTCATGACAATCGGACAAAGTGAACAGTAACTTCAAACATAAAAATTTGCAGGTGGGGGGGAAAAGGAAAAAGAGCCCCCAGCTGTAACAAAAAATAGATTGCTGTCGGTTTTGCATATAAAAAATACAGATTAAACTCAGGTCGATTTTTGTATCTGGAAAGTATATGGGTTGAAATATGTGGGATGAATTTTGAAAACTCTTAAAGTGATATAAAATGATATCACTTTCCAAGTTAAAAAAAACGAAAACAGAAGGACTTTCAATGACTTCAATTTTTCTTTTGTCATTTGAGCGCTCCTTTGGTTTGAGGCCTTGTAAAATAATTTAAATTGATTTTTTTCATTTGAAATAAAAAACATGAAATTGCAAATAAAAACAATTGATGACATTGCGTTTAAATTTGTTTTCTTTCATGACTTCGGAAATTTTTTTTTGCCCTCAGAATTGTACGGAATTCCCACTGGAATTACTTGCTTGCGGTCATAAGCGCTCCTCAAATGGCTATAGATAAATACATCAATAGCGGAGATTTCTTTGACAACAAATTTTACTCAAAATTTTGAGCAAAAAAATTACTTAAAGTTAAAATTAAAGACGACTGAGCTTTTGGCAAAAAAGAACCCATTAAATTTTGTTTAAATCTGTTTAAAATCATTTCAGTGTATAATGTGCACATGGTTGATCAGTTTGTATGGATTTTAAATCAATTAAAAATGATTCAAATTGATTCAAAACCATTTTTGTCAGTGGCAAAAAAACCAATGAATGACAATTTATGAAACAGTGCAAATTTCAAAAACAAGAAAAATTACACTACGGTTTTTTGGGTTCATTGTGATTGTCATTCAACAAAGAAAACCAAAAACCTTGCATCATTAAAAATCTTGAGAAAGTAGAATTGTCAGAAAACGACATAGAATTGGGTGGATTTGACTTTTTGCTGTTTTTGCCGGAAAAAATTTTCGCGCTTTTCAACAAATCTGACACTTCGTTGACTTGACTTTTTGCTGACTTTGCGAAAAAAAATTGTCAGAAAACGACATAGAATTGGGTGGATTTGACTTTTTGCTGTTTTTGCCGGAAAAAATTTTTCGCGCTTTTCAACAAATCTGACACTTCGTTGACTTGACTTTTTGCTGACTTTGCGAAAAAAAATTGTCAGAAAACGACATAGAATTGGGTGGATTTGACTTTTTGCTGTTTTTTCCGGAAAAAAATTTTCGCGCTTTTCAACAAATCTGACACTTCGTTGACTTGACTTTTTGCTGACTTTACGAAAAAAAATTGTCAGAAAACGACATAGAATTGGGTGGATTTGACTTTTTGCTGTTTTTGCCGGAAAACATTTTCGCGCTTTTCAACAAATCTGACACTTCGTTGACTTGACTTTTTGCTGACTTTGCGAAAAAAAGTTTTCGCGCTTTTCTACAAACCAAAAACATTATTCGGCTCTTTTCCAGTTTCCCCCCCCCCCCCCTTTTCAAAATACCGAGTTTTGTGTTTGTTTTACGTGCTATTACGGCTAAATGCGTCATGTTACGCTGTTAAGTATGAAGAACAAATCTGTTCAGAATTGTCGATTTGTTCACCACGCCAAATTTCATTGCATTATGACAACGCTAAATAAGGTTTTCAAAATTGAATTTGAAAGGTGGGGGGAAACTGGAAAAGAGCCCATTATTCATATCCTATGCGCCCATTGAAAACTCTCAGGAAATCTACAATAATTGTCGACTCTTTTCAATTCAGGGCTCTTTTTTCTTTCAATTCAGGAAGGAAAAAGAGCCCAATTCAGCCCCACACAATGTGGCTGAAAGCGTAATACTACGATGAACGGTATGAAGACCAATTGTGTTCCCATTAGATAAGTTGCTCACCTTGCAGATTTCGCAATATCTATTTTTTAAATGTTGGGGAGTGGAAAATGGCCTAAGTCCCAACTTGCAACAAAATTATAGTTTTGCGGTTAAAATATTGTTCATCAGGTCAGTAGTATGGAAAGCTTCAAATTCAACAATGAAAGTAACATACTGGAATCTGCTATCGTAAAAAACCAAAAAGTAAAACTTTTCGAAATTGTGTTCATTCTTTTATTTGGCTTTTTGTCAACCCGCTCGGCATCACTCCATTCGCAATGACAAAATGGAGAGAAGATTGAGTAAACACAAAATAAAACTACCGATTAACGTAACTAGAGAATTGCTTCAGCTACAACCCATTCGGCATCACTC